TTGGGAGCCGTGTGAGCTCCACCAGCGTGCCGACCTCCACGCGGCATCAAAAGAGATGCCGAGTCTCCCGCGGTAAAGAAACTCGGGAAAAGGATGTCTTTAATTCCAGGCAGAAAGCGGCCTCAGCCATCACAGATGGCAAATAATGGAAACTGTGTAAAAGAGGAGCATTCGCCCCTTAAGAGTCGTCTCTGTTCTTGCCGCGTGGCCACGCAATCCATCCTCGTCGCAAACCGGCGGTTCTCTCCTCCACAAACAAAAAGCCGTTATCCATCCGCTTGTTGTTGCAGACGAAGCGTCCTCGATTACTCCCGCTTCCTTCAATAATCGCGCGTCGTAGACTGGAGTCCTTCGTGAGCTTTCACCTGATGTAAAAGAGGACGGAGGAAAAGGGGACCGCCCGACGCGTCCTCGGCGCGCGTCTCGTAATTGTAGCGGAGCGAGGATGAAAATCAGAGAAAAAGCGCTCCTCTGCTTTCAACCAGAGCTCCTGCCCTTCCGCAGCTTCTCCCTTCACATCAATGCGACCAGCGACGACACCTGGGTCAGCATTGTGGTGTATCTTCCCGGAATATCGAACTGTGTTCTGGGGAAGGTCGAACGGATCGACGTGCCTCGCCAACAGCGAGATCACGTGTGGGTCCAAATTGTGTTTCTCCACGGTTTGAGCAGCGTGCCGCAACGCACCGCGTTTTATGGAACGCGCCGCGGCACCCCAAGGAGCCAGGACTCGTTCGACTTTGGCAGTCGTCAGATTCGTGAGCTTTTCGTTGCGTCGAAGTGTCCTGCATAGCTTTATAGTGTCGAAGGCGTCCTGCCCTCGTATCCTGACGAACCGCAAGGCGCGGTGGGGATCCGCCTTCGCCGTCTTTGGTGCCACGGACCAATCCAAAAACTAAGCTCCCGTCCGCCTCCAGTTTGAAATTGTTGGGAGTGAAGGATGCAATCCCAAACCAACGACTCGCCGTTATCCACGCAAGTCGAAAAACAACACGTTCCCTCCATTCGGTCCGACTGCGGATAACCTGATTCATCTCTTCCTCTGTCAAGGGGCGCGCCTGCCTCGTCTGCCTCGTCTACGATCGCGCCGCAACTTTTTGTAACCTCAAAGCCGCCATGCCCAGCGGGGTTCCATTCATTTGCAGCATGGACCGCAGCGTCCTGGCGTGCCGCGGTCGGGTCGATGGCGCCACGTCTAACAGTGCCATCAAAAAGGCCGCACGGCCCTCCGCGTTGATCGGCTGTTCGTGCGTGCGGCAAAAAGGTCGTAAATTGCCCAGCTAGAGACATTCTCTGCTCCCACGTTGACGGCGTCCACATTTCTCGGGCCACCTCGTTCGCCCTCCTTGTGTGGCCGGCCCAAAGCGGAGACGTCGGTGATTCGTCGTACCACAGTCGAGCGTCGTTGGCGGATAAGCTCCACTGCCCTTCTCGATTGGGTCGGGCAATTTAAAATATCGGATGAAGCATTGGCGGTGTGGTGCGACGCCTGAGAGGATTGGTGGGTGGTAGTGGAATGAATGGGGCTGCCGTCTTCCGCTCCCATAAGCGGCGGGCAGCCCCTCTGCCGTTTTTGACGGCCATCTGCGCTGCGAGCAGTTTCCTCTGACCGTGCTGCGTACGTTGCACGTGGATGCATCGCGTCCACAAATACGACACAATCGGCATCGCAACGATCGTTGCTGTTGCGTGCGTGGGCGGGCGCGCAGTTCGGAGATCGGGACGCTGGACTCAGTAGTCATCATCTGCAACTGGAAGGTCTGCAGTAGGGCCCTAAACAAATCCATGAAACGATCGGCAGGATCCCGTTCTGTCTACAACGTGCGCCTGCACGATACAAAACCGTCAAAGGCAGGCTGAACCTGAGCGTCCGCCTGGTGCCAATGGCCATAACTGTATGCGCTCCGGAGGCAAGCGACGACTTCGGAGATGCCCTCATTCCATACACGCGGAGCCCAGGTGGTGACGTCCAACGCAAGAAAATGCAGCACCCGACCTTCTGAACCGGAATCCTCTTCCAAGTGGACGGTGGGGAGGCAACGGCAACAACAAAAAAAAATGATCTCCCAGCATTGCCCTAAAACATCTGAGTGCTGACCAGCCGTCTCTCCCCCACAACATTGGGTTGGGGAAACGCGGATGCTGACACGCCCCAGGCCATCAAACGATGCGGTTGATTTGGCTGTGTATTTCCGCCATCGCCGTGCATGCGTGGGGCCATCTGGCAGCCCTCTCCGAGAGGTGGGCGCCTCTCGTTGACACGGCGTCTCCGCCTTCCGCAAAAAGGCCGCCAACCACCGAAATGTTAGTTTCACGTGCCGAGCGGTAGTTGAGCGCCTCTTCCGTCTGAAAGTAAATCTGAGCAGTCCAATTCTGTACGTCCGCAACGGCGTGGGTGTGGTCCGAGTTTAATATCTGCCTTTCCGCAATGACGAGCCCTTGCTTGCCCCCCAACTCCCGGGCAGCACACACACGATGGGCAGGAGCACTTGAGCATCGAAATTTGTTACTTGAAACGCCCGGCGATTCGCAAAGTGTCCCGCAACGGCCGAGCCCTCCCAGTGCATGGCGATCTTTGCTGAAATCAATCGCAAACATGTCATGGTTGCATCGACGGTTACCGCCGCATCCAACGGCCTGTGTTCATCAATGAAGGCAAGCTGCACCTGGGCATCGCCATGCTGGCATACCAATTCCAACATGCGGGCTCCCAATTTGCTCCACCCCGTCGCCGTGTAAAAAAAAATCTATACTGTTTCATTAAAAGAAATTCCATAAGTCCATTATGGCCGAAAAAAAAAAAAAATCGTCCTGCCGTTATCGGTTCTCTGATTTTTTCAATCACGCTCTTCCAGAAAATCATAAAATAGAAACTTACGTAAATATATTCTTCTAATCAGTATCTGTTAATTAGGGTTGCCAGCCTTCTCGCGGACGTTCTTTTCACAAGTTAACAATTAAAAAAAGACGTCTGCCGAAGGTAATTTCCGATGTATTCAATCAAGAAATGTCGTGTCTTCTTGCTACTTCAACATCCGTCTTTAGAGGATCTAAGTACTTGGATAAAGGAAAAGGGAACCTAGCCTTTTCACCATGAACAGGACTAAACATTCATTCTTCTGAGAACAAACGATCTGTTGATTAATAAGAACTGTGTACGAAAAGGAAAATAACCTTTGATACTTCACTCCTATTCCCGCTCCCATCCAGATTTAAAATAAAATTAAAATAAGAGGAAGTAACGCATTTTCAAACAAAAGAATAGACATATGCACGATAAAAATAAAGTATGCCAATTGCTCTCCAGTCGCCAATATCATTTAATTCAATATTCCCCCAAATAAATAAACATATATATAACACCATGATACCCACTCCGTATTGGCGTCTTTTTTTTTAGTTGGGGTCTTTAAAAAGAGGGGGCTTTGAGTTAATCCAGAGCAAATATTTTTTATGAGTGCATTTGCTTGAGTCTGGAAGAAAAAGTTAACAAAGCCCCTAACGCTGTACTCAGCTGAAAATCGGACGCAGTTCTGGGAAAAACACACACAAACATATATATATATAAAGTACTGCTCCGACAATCATTTCCTACAAATTAATTACAACATGGCGCCCATTTATTTTATCCAATGGGCATTTAGTAGTGGGGGAATGTGTGGCAAATTTTATTTGCCATTCTCGTTTTGTTTCTGCCCGAAAAAAAAAAGGGCAGAAGGGGCAGAAAGGGGGGGGTTGGGAAAGAAAAAAAAAAAAAAAAAAACAGAAAAGTAGTCAAAAATAAAATTAAATAAATAAAATATTTTTTCTTTTTTGAGACAACTGCTGCTATTGAAGAAGATTAAATCACTTTTTATTTGAATTTCCGTATTTTTTTATTGTTCTTTTCCTCCATATTTCATGTGTCTCATCCTAGACTTTCTCAAGGTCGTCGTTCAGTTTGGTCCTCATGGTGGGCTCGTTATTTCCGCCCGCCTCCTCCATCTCTGTGCTCACCATTACTGTGGAGCCAGGGAGGTGGAGTTCATCGGGACGGCGGTAAGCAATGTACAACGCGATGCCAATGCCCACAATGGTAACCCCCAGGCATACCCAGACAAGAGGGAACTCCTTTTCCTTTTTCTTGGTTGATGTCTGATTATCCTCAGCGGCCACCGCATTTGCCACAGCCAGGAAGGCAGAGGCGATCAGAGCGTATTTGGAGGCCATTTTTTCTTCCGGTTTCTTTTTTATTGCTCTCCTTTTGTTATGTTACAAAAAGTCGACGGGAAAATGAATTAACTGGATGGCTCAAACAACTCTACTATTAGTGCAGGTAAAAAAAGCAAAAAAAAAAAAAAAAAAAAGAAATTCGCAAAGATAAAAAGCACTCATCAAACAGCAAACAAAAATAAATAAATAACGCAATCACAAAGAACTACAAACAAAAGCAAGGCAAGTAGAAATGCATAAAATGCCGGTAATAAACTTTCTGTACCTTGATTTTAAGTTCTAAGCAAAAATAAAAATAAAAACCACCAATGATAAAACATCATGATAAGGTTCGCTGTATTGCCTTAATGACCACACATGTAAGGCAACCAGCAAACACAACAAGTCCACGATAAAGCCTCATTATTGATGATTACGTACTGATGAAACTTAAACATGCTAAAAACTCCCTTCTCGCGCCTCCCGCGTGGGGTTCAAAAATTTAGATTGGGTCGGACAGGCTTTGAAAACCCACGCTTCGCAAGAAACCGTAAACCCAACAAAATGCAAAGATATATGATGATTCATTAAGTTTTTTTATTAAGTATCATGTACTCCTAAAGCCAGCCCGTCCCATTCGGGAATATATAAAAAAGAAGAAAAAAAGGAAAAAGATAAAAAAATACAAGTAAAAGAAGGGAAAGAAAGAAAGGCAAGCCAAAATTCCTGTCCCCTATATCCTCCCCAAATAAATAAATAAATATATATATATATATATATATATATATTCACGCTCCATGCAAATGACGTCAAGAAAAAGTAAGGGAGCATGTGAGAAATGAACCAAAGATGGAATTCCCGTTGATATCATGCAATGGAATTTGTCGAATACCAGCTTTTAACACACGCAACGGTAAAATGCACTCTGCTAGAAAGTCGTCGCGAGTTTTTTTGTCTTCGTCATAAACTTGCACAACAAGTGTTGAAAGATCCCAGTCCTTCACATCCCACGAGAACTCACTGCCCAAGCCCTTGCCCCGCCATACCGGGTGGAACCCATTGTTGCGAATTGTTCCCGATGTCTTTCGGTCACTATTACCGTCTGGGCCCTCAATAAAACACGTAATGAAAGGGTCCACAATTTCGCCCTTGTTGGAACGTTTCGGCTTGGGGAGACAAAATCCAGAAATAATCTCCAAATTCAGTGATCGCACCTGGGAGCCGTTGCGCGAAGCAGCACTTGATCGCACGCTCTCAGGCTTCAAAACATAACCGCAATTTCCATTGTCAGAGAAAAATCCCTTGTTAAGCCTCCATGCATATGTGTGGGTCGATTGCCAATTGAGTGCCACGATTTGACAGCCGCAATTCCAAAACAATTGGGGATTGTAATTGCTGCTGCCAACACGGGATCCTGCAGGGTATATGCGACTAAGGCAGTGTTGGTTAATTAATTTAAATTCCATCGCATTGGACACGGCAATTTTTTTCGCTTTGGATTCAACAAAGGAAGTACACTGGTACGGTTGTCTTTTTTCTAGATATGACGTATCAGAAGTGCCTTTAAATCCGGCCGACTCAATGGAAACAACGCGTGATAATTTTTCCAAAGCAACCTTTATCTTTTTTTTCTTCTCCTTCTTTTTCTCCTCTTTAAACTGTCTGTACAATGGATTTGGCCCCGACGTTGTCAATTCCTTCTCCTCTCCCTCTGTCTCCTCTTCCTCATCATTTTCCTCCTCTTCTTCATTTTCCGTTATCTCCGCGTCAGAGATGGCCGACGATGTCGCAACTCGTTTGCTCTTCACAAGAATTTTTCTCTTAAGATTCTCTGGGGAAAACAAAAATGTCGTGGGCTCAGCTGGAGCCCACGGACTTTGAAAAAGCATATCCCCAAATGTATCACACATAATCTCTGCCATTCGATCGGCTTGAGCGGAACTTGTATGAACCTCAATGGATAAAATAACTGGATACTCAGAAGCCTTAAAGGCATACTCCTTGATCACTTTGATGCAGGAAAGAAATGATATCTTCGATGTCCGTGTGTGACCATGGTAAACAATCGGCTCACCGGCAAAGCCATCCCAGCAATCCAACTCCACACAACGACATCCATCCAAAAGAGCCTTTCGATACATGTCTGCCGATGAATTGCTGGTCAATTGATCGCCGGTCAAGTAAGTATTGTGAGAGGAATTGATAAAATAATTACAAATTGGCTGATTCATATCTTGGTATACCTTGCTGACTTTTTCTTCATCCACAATGCTACAGAAACGATTATCCTCCAAAAATTTAAGAAAATTGGTGAAATAGACTTCGCCGGTTTTCATACAACATACATAATCCAAAATCTCCTTTACGCGCTCCCCATTCAATTCCTCCCCCTGATAATTCCTAAGAAAAGACTTAAACTCATCTCTTGTTATAGTCTCCCTAACTGGGCCGGCAACACCTGTAAAAACGTATTCAAGCTCTTTCAGTCTCGTGAGCAAAAAATATTCCTTCTCCAAAAAGGCGTAATTTACAATTCCACCGGCAGCCTTTACCGCAGCTATAAGTTGCTTGGAAAGATCGGCAGGAAAATTCAACCCCTTTACAAGTTTGCCCAACTCACGGAGACTAATATCCCCACTGTTATCAGCGTCGTACTTCATCCATATCATCATAAATTTTGCACGATTCAAATCCCACAAAGCGCGACCAAAATTACTCGAAGAAAGATACAAATTTAGTGCCTCTTCTGATTTTGGATTTGAAAAACACGCGCGACGAAGGAACGCAGTTGCTTCATCCCCACTGCAAAGTAGGATATCACGTGAAGCTCCCCACATGCATGCAAAAAATGCCCCTGCATCACCCAAAAATTCGTTATCCTGCGCAAAGAAATCATCTACAAGTCTTTTAGCGGCTGGAGCATAGCGGCACATCTTATCCTCAACGTTACACTTACTCGTACAAAGACCCATTGTAAACCCTCCTCAAAATCTGTTGTTGTTGTTGTTGTTTTCCCGCTTCACCTATTTCCTTTCCTTTTTCGCTTCACTCTTTTCCGCTTCTATGCCTAATTTTTATTGCCTGTTTGTTTTTATGTGCATCGAAAGATTGAGAAAAAATATATATATATATCGTCAACAAAAAAAAGCCAGAAAAAAAAATTGCCGTTCATTTACCTCAAAACAAGCCTACTCCAATCACGTATTAAAGATCCCGAGCAGATGCACAGGCACAATAAACTTTACAATATTCACTTTAGTCTTTTCCTTCCTCCTCCCCTCTTGTGTTCGGCTCCTGCGCGTTTGTACGTGTGGATAGCAACTTCTTCCGCCAGACGCGTTCTTCCTCAGTCACCTGTTGAATTGCCTGATTTAGTTGATCGAGTGTCACCTTCTCTTCCAAAAAAAATTTAGTTTTTTTGGTTTTCTCCTTCCAGTGCCGGCATTCATCCTCCGCCTCCATGTATGTTGCGCGTCTCTTTTGCATCAGCTGTCGCAAGCGTAGTTCCTCCTCCTGATGCAAAGACTCCAAGTGGAGAGACTGCAACTTCCTCTGCAAGTATTTTTCTTTCGCCACCTCTGTCTTCTCAGACCAAAATTTTAAAAATGCACGGATCTTGGAATCCCGAAGACTAATTCGATAAGAAAGAAGCTCCTTTGCCTCCTTACATGAGCACTCTAATTCACGAATGTTCTTGCTGAGCAAGAATAACCTCTCCTCACTCACGCGCACATCTCCATGCAACCGCTCCAGTTGGCCATGAAGAGAATTCAGATACGGTGGAATTCGACTGGTAGGCACGGCTTCCTCCCCAAGAAACTCCCTCACACGGCCAATGAGCTTAACAGGGGCTCTGCATTTCGTTAGCAACACGTTGTCCCGAAGGGAGCGCAACGCACTTTTCAACTGTTTTCCATGCGCTTCCAGTAGATTCATCCTTTGCCTCAGCGTAGCAAGTTTTGTTTCCAAAAATACCGCGTCCTTTTTGCAATTCCCCTCGTCCTTAAAGGGTTCCCTGGTGTTCCTATCTAAATCTTTTAGGCTTTCCCTCAGCACTTGTCGCACAGTTTCCCGCTGGACAAGAAGATCTCCAATTCCGCGTTCTAGTTCCGCTAGAGTAGTCTTCTCACAGGGAGTTTCCCATTGTAGTAGAACCTCTCCCTTGTTTAAAGGAGCAGGCGCATGTGAAGAAAAATCAACAGAGAATCGTTTTGCCGTTAAAATAAGAGAATGCTCGCGGAGCAACACCTCAAAAGGAGGGCAAATAACAAATTCCCTTAAAAATGTTGATGGAACAATTCCCTTCTCACCCTTCACATTCTGCGCTGTCCACCAACCGCTGGGGTGCTCCTCCAAAATAAATAAAACGTCCTCCCTGCAAAGGGGCAAATAATGTCGACCTCCATTTATGTAGTCATGGGTGGCTTGACACACACGCATGTCTCTTTATTCCTCATCCTCAACAGAAAATAAAACGTAGTATTCAAAAAAAAAGAGTCGAAAAGAGGGAAATGCATGAAGCACACCAGCGTCCTCCGCTCCCCACCATCAAAAAGGATTGCCTGAGAAAAAAAAAAAAAAAGGCTAAGAAAACTTCAATTCACAAGTTGACAAAGGAACTCAAACACAGGTGGTTGTCCTATGGCGGAATGCGAATGGACTGAACCGAGTAATTCGTACCGGGTTCCACGTATACCTCCCCATAAGCTCCGGGTAGAAGAAGCTCTGGTTGTCCAACGGGTTTCAATACCATCTTATGGCCAAGCACGTGGTAAGGATACGTCACACCCCCAACCGTTTCCAGATCAACATCCAAGTCGGAGAGCAAAACCCTGAATGAAGATGTGGTGGATTCCTCACGTCGAGATGACATCGCTTTTCTTTCGTTTTTGTTGTTGTTGTGCTTCTCCGCCTCTTCTTCCTCCCAAGTACCGTGTTTCAAAAAAAAAAAAAAAAAAAAAAAAAAAAAAGAAAGGGTGTCTATCTAATGATAATGTCACCAAAAAAAAAAACCTTTTAAAAACAATGAGAAGATGGAAAAGACATCAATACCTCGAATCCTTTAACCCCCTCAATTTGAAATAAAAAGGCAGGCAAAAAAAGCTGCCAACGGCAGGAGCCACACGACAACTAAAGAACACCATACATGTCATGAAACGCTGCGTAGCGGAGGGAAAAAGATTCCCTAAGCATTACAAACGGCGATGTTCCCTCCGGAAGACGACAAAACAAAACAACAGAATAACAGCCTGTATGGGTCTTTTTAATGGGCCCCATTTTTTCCACAAAACGCTCCGAGACATTGTAAACGCAGGGTTCCCGCACCCTTGAGACGTAGTCCATGTCCTTCGAATGTATTGGTTTTCGCTCTTGCATCATCGAAAGATCAGATTTTAAACATGTAAAAGAGTTCGGGTCTTTAATCACGGAAGCTTGGAAATCTCCCGGTCTCACTACAAGTGGACGATAATACTCCCGAGGGAATGCGCAAGGCTCAAGTGGTTCCTCAAACAAAAAGGACAGGCCGTGCTTTGCCGCAAACTCCCCGTAAAGCTCACGATCCAGAGGTGAAATTTGAGGAAACAGGCAATTATTCAAAGCATCATTGCCGTACGGGACAGGAAGTACAACATCCGTGATAGCGTAAATATCCAGCCGTGTGTCCTCCGCAGTTACCAGCTTATACTGATATGAAGAACACGAGCCGACGGCAAAATGACTGTCAGGGATTGGCACCCGCACCACATCCCCTTCAACTACATCCAAGCCTTTTGACAACAGCCTTTGGGATGCCATAGCGTTCCATACAAACTCCGCTGCACTGCCTTGGATCCGATCCCGAATAGGGAGGGAATCCCAAAGTATACGGAGATGTTCCTCCTTTTCCCCATCCTCGTGGTATTTTGCCACGCCCTTCAACAAGTCAACCAACCATTTCTGTGATCGCATATGTTTCGCTGCATCAGCCCACAACTGTGAAACTCCGAGTACAGTGCTTGGATCTGCGTTAAGGTACTTAATGTAGTAATCGTGATGAACGCCATCACACTCTGCAACGCATTGAAGAAGAGCACCCATCGCTTGTCGGAAATATCCGTGTGCTGCGAAAGAGGCAACCTCAAACAATCGGTTCGAACCGACACCGAACGCTTCAATACCAAAGTAATTCACAAATCCCCCCTCAACTAACATTTTTAGACGTCGATTTATGGTGTCGGGGTCGCCATCCACACACCGCAAAACAAGACGGTAGTAATGCCCAGCCGGCCTCCTCAATAAGTCCTGAAATTCATCCTGCGTGTGGTAAGTTTGAGGATTAAAAATGAGAGGATGTAAGTTAAAGTGACGGGAAGCGTGTGGAAGAAATTCCCTTGTCATCCCAACGCACACACCGTACTGTGAAATGCAGCCAAAAGAACCACCGGAGGACTCACGCAAAAATGTGGATCCCGGTTGAAGCGACAAAACATACCCCATGCGTTTTTCAACGCTAAGAAGTGAATAAGAGTCCCTGTAGACGACGAATCGCAAGATGGGAAAATCCCGCGGAAGCTTGCCCAATATTCTCACATATCCCCCATAACTTTGTACCCGCGGACTAAACGTCTTTGCCGGATCACCAAATGAAATTTCCGCATTATCCTCAATGAGAACCGTTTTTTGGCGCGATATTTTTCGCCACTTGCCTTTGGGTGCCTTTTCCAGTGCCGCAACACGTCCATTTGCGTCAATTTCATTCACCTGAAAGTCAGTCGACTGTGCCTTGACCACCGCAACAGGAAGCGTGGCATCCGACAACCGACCGCCAACGTCGCGTAGTCGAAGAAGCAACCCCGAGTCTCTCTCCTCACGGCTAAGATCGCGACCGGACCGCCAGTCATTCCGTGAAAAAAAAGCTCCTGTCATCGGATTTCGAAGCGACCATCGCGAAATAGGCCCTTTGGAAGCTAGCTTCATTTCCCTGGTAAAATCACGTCATGTGTGCACACAAAATAAACAATGAATATAAAAAAAAACCTCACAATCTGGCGTGAAGAACGCAACGCACAGAAAGACCTATACACACACACGGAAACATATATAGACAAAAAATATATGAGCGTATGGTAGTTGAACAAAAAAATTAGCTAACAACAACAAATAATAATAATAATAAACTAAGAAAGCATAGACCATGATGATTTCTTTCCACCTATAAATTGTTGAATTGTTCCATCCGCAGCATCAACAGAATAGGATGCGTTTGCCTCATCCGTCCAAAGTTGGTAAGGATTGTCAACAAATTTTTGATACATACCACTTTCCATTTCCTCTGTGCGAGCAGCTGCTTCCATCTGAATTGTCCTTAAGGATGGAAGGCAATCGCCTAATGTTTCGCTATCAAGATACCCGCGCTCCGGAAGTTGGTTACGAATGTGTGGAGGAAGTAGATGGAGCTTGTGCTCGTACATTTCCTCCTCTAATTGCATGATTGCACCCTCGGTGATAACAAGCCTTTCGTGTTGCATTGCATCAAAAACGTTAAAACGGTTAATGGGAATGGGGTTCTTAGGGCCTTTCGGGCCCTTCATTCGCTGCTTCGAAGCCGTCTTGTTGTAGTCATACTGTTCATCGCACAAGAGAGTGGGTCGAACCACCTTGTTTCTACCGTTAAAGAAACTGCCAAAAAAAAAGGAACGATCAAATTCAATGCTAGGAGTAATACGAGAGCCCCCATCCATGAATAGAACTCCACCTCCTGTGTGCCGTACATCCCAGGACATTGTGCGACATAAACCCAAGTAACACTCCTGAGTAGGTTCCGATAAAGTCAGTCTCTCTACAACCTGCAACCGTCCTTGTAGCATCTTGAGGGTCAACATCATACGGTTACTTTTGCTCCATGTCTTCACGTCCATGGTAGGCATAAGCATATTCCAGGGTTTGGACGGCTTAGTACGCCCACCCCACAGATACTGGTGATTCTTCCGATTGCTTACGCGCGGCATTCCCATCCCAGTGTTAGGCCAATTCTTTTTTGCCTTTCGCCAAATCTCGCGTGTTTCATAGTCCCACTTACTAGCGTAGTTTTGGCATCGTACTAACCAGTAGGTAAGGTTTTTGCTAAGTTCTTCTGTTTCGGGGTACATGCCAAAAACAAATGGGTCAAGCTCTCGAGTGTGTGTTACTTCATTATTCAAGTTAAAAACAGGTACGATAATCCGCTCCTTCATGGTTCCGCATGTGTAGACAACCGGTTTTGTTGTGTTAAGGTGCGGTAACTCGGGCAAAGGTTCGGTAAAGTACGGATGAGAGCGCTGGGGTGAGGGTAAATAAGGTGAAATCAAAGGTCGGGTCACGGTGTTATGTGGGTGGTACAATGGAAGAGGGTGAGCACCCGGTAATACCTGCTGTGCCCCCTCATACACAAAATCCCCTTCATCTCTCGGAGCTATGTCGTGCACGCCCGAGGTGCGCCAATCGTAGCGGGTACTAAAAATAATGGCACGCCTTGCACAGGCTGATGGCAAACAAACGGCGAACGGCACACGCCTCATAATAAATGTAGTCTTTTCGCGCAGAGTCAAGCGATGTTCAAGCCTCCTTCGTTTCTTTTTTTCTATCCCCACAGTCAAAGTCTATACAACCCAGCTCCTTCCGTCCCCCACGGCGAAATTATCCCCAAGAGATACAAAAAAAAAAAAAAAAAAATTGGCGAAAAAGTACTTCTACTTGAAAAGCAAAAAAAAAAAAAAAGACCCATACACACATATATACACATACACAACGAACTGAAAAGAGTCAATGGCTATAAAAAAAAAAAAAAAAAGAGGAAGGCAAAAAAAAAGTTAAAAACAAGTAGAAACACACACAATGAAAAAAAAAAGCAGTGAATAAAAACATAATCCTTTCCTTTTTTTTTTTTTTTTCTTTTTTGATCCGCCTTTTGTTTGAAATTTTTGAGTCATTTGCTTAGGGATAAAGTTCTACCTTACAGCGGCCTCTTGACCTGAAATCATTTCGATACTTCCCGAGCGCTTTTTTCGTGTTGGGATGCCTCCAACTCGCTCTGCAGCACTGCTACCAGCTTTCTCTCGTCGTAAAGCTCCCTCAAACAGGATTGAAGTCGCTCACTCAATTGTCGATTCTCGTCAAGGAGTTGCTTCAATGTACGACTAAGTGATATGTTCTCTTCCTCAAGCTCAGCGCACCGTTGAAGTGTGTATCCGTTCATGCTATTCAAAAGATTTATTTGTGAATTGGCCGTTCTAAGACGGTCAAAAAGAATCGGCTCGCCAACAACCTCTTTCCGTCCACACACGCGTGAGTTTAATAAAGCCTGCCATGCGTCAGTGCCCTTTGTTGTTTCGCCACTAGACGAGGCACTCGCAGTAAAAGAAGGAAACAAGAAGGCCGCCCTTGTTATGCGCAAGCGAGGGTTGAAGAGAGACGAGGCGGCCTCCACCACCTCCGCACGCAACTCCCTTTCGACGTCTTCATCGGCAGAAAAAGAGCATACATGACGAATTGTCGCGCAGGGCGCACTCAATGACCGCCTCGGCGGCGAAATCAGTCGAGTTTCCCACATTTGAGGCGCAGAATGTTTGAAAAAGCTAAAAAAAAAAAAAAAATGAAAGATAGAATTGTTTGACCCTGTTGAAAGACAAAAAAGAAAGTGAAAATGTTGAAAGCGTGTCACAAGGAAAAAAAGAAAGGAGAAAAAAAAGCAGTTAGAAAAAGAAAAAAAAAGCAGAACAGTTGAGAAAAAAAAAAAGGAAAAAAGAGATAAAAAAGAAGCTACGGCGCTGCATGAGGAGCAGTACTCTCAGCCAAGGGGTTCAACTCGCTATTGCCAGCCTCTCCCGCCACGCCGGCAGCCAACAGAGACTCCACAGCAAGAATTACACTCGCCACATCATATACTAGGGGCAACAAAGACGACAAAATAAAATCATCTACAGAATAAATCGATTTCTTCTCTTCCTGCAGTCGCCATGCCAAAAAGACCCGTTCCTCCGCCAGACGCTGCAGATGCTGAGAAAATGCCTCTGCCCTTTCAAGGCCGGCATGCATTTGTGTAACCAAAGAGCTCATGCTGCGAATCTTTTTTAAGGGGGGGAGGGGAAGAACTGCAAAACAACACAAAAAAAGGATTTTAAACCGCCTCTTGCTCCTCCAAAAGCGCATCAGGACAACAAGGAAAAATCACCACTGAAAGTCAGTAAATAAAAAGAAGTAAAGAGGTAGTAAAACACCTTTCAGCTCCATACGATTCCTATTGCATCTTTTCTAATTCACAAGACGGTATTACCGCACCACAGAAGGCGTGCTGCAGCCTCTAAAGCAAGACACCCTTGATGGCAAACATGTCTTTAATAAGAAAAGGCACCATGTGCCTTAAAGGAAACGCATCTCCCTTATTACATCGTCCCTTGCTGCACCCGCAGAAACTCGATAGATAAGAGGATGATGGTATGCAAAATCGCCGTAACAGTTTATAGGGTCACGGAGCCATTTCCCGTCACTCCACTCACACAAGGGAGGGATAATACTGTTTACACGCTGATTGATACAACCCCACTGGCCCACTCCGTTGTCGTTTCCTGAGAAAAAATCTCCACCTGATATCAAGGGAGTCACTCCTCCACAACGAGCGCAATGGTCAATTGAGGCAGGGGAATTTTCCATCACAAGCAAAGTTTCTAAATTCCCTCCCTCCTTCAGTAATGCTGGATGCGCACGCTCAACAGAATGCGTGAGCCACACTTCTTGTGGTTCTGTTCTCGGGGCTGAACAAGATCCCCCCACGGCGGAAGGACTATGTGCAATGGGCGAGGCATTGGGGCATAATGGAGGGAGTTGACGGGGTGTTAAAGAAATCCCCTCGCCCTGCTCTTCCTCATCACTGATTCGCGGTGTTCGCTCTGTTGAGGAAGCGCAGCTCTGTTGATACCGCTCCACCGGATGGGGAGGAGTTCCTGGCAATGTGGTATCTGACAACTCCAAAGTAAAAAATGAAAAGTCTAGCTTTGCATTCATCTTTGGTGAATTGAGCGCACATGGTGACCCAAAAATTTCCCGTGGCGGCGGACTGACCGCGGCCAACACTTCACCAAAGCTACGAAAATTTTCCCGGGAACCCAATGACGCCAAACAATCATGAAACGAGGGAAGATTTGTTCTCCATTGGTTCTTGAAGGGATTCCTCCGCGGCACAGACTCGACTTCAGTGGTGTGCATTAGAAACCTTGAGATATAAATGGCATTGTCGGAAAAAACAAAAAATGGAAAAAAAATATATCGTCAACATCATTGCCATTATTTGTCATGGCAATAAATTTGATACCGTCTATAATAACAACAATAATCTCACCATGGGATAATGAAAGGCACACCACACCAACATCAAAAATACAAACAAGGAGGAAAGTCGGCACAAGGATAAAACGGACGAGTCACGCATTGTAACCCCTCCCCTCCCCTCCCAACTTTCAAGTTGAACCTTTCAATAATTACTTCGGGTTGCCTTTTTTTTTTTTTTTTAGGCGTTTACCGCCACCAAAGTGCATGAGAAGAACGGGTGGTCTGACAGCGCAATAACGTCTTTAATAGGCAATCAACAAGCACAAACAAATCCATCCATTTTATTTTTGTCGATGTCAGGGATTTAGAGCGGTGCTCAAAAATCTATCAATCGGAAATGAGTACAATCCAAGGAGAGATAAAAAATCCTTCTTAGTAAGGTGTCTTATTTCTCACATTTGACACAGGCAATGGTGCGGGCATGTGTGTCCAAGAATTCTGGACAGCACTGTTCAGGCAACAAGTGTTACGCACGTGGATCCTGAAGCCGGAGCCTTCCACTATCGTGCGTCTTGTTCACTACACATAAAATAGCCGATCAAAAGATGCATCCATTCAACTGCTTCATTTCCATTCACTTACTTTCCCCATTGACCCGCCTCCTCTCCTCTTCCACCACTTACACACAACACTCTTCCCGCTCTAAAACTTTCTTCAAGCTCATTGACCCTTTAGCCAGGCTTCCCCTTTAGCTTCTTTATTCTTCACTGAGTCTTTGCCCTTCCGATACAAGTCTAGCACTCACTAACAAAAAAAAAAAACAATATACCTTGGGACCTCAGCAAAAATTTAAATCGCCATAAAGCCGACTGACGCCAACAAATAAATAAATAATAATAATAAGCAGAAATCTCTTTTTTTCTCATTCACCACAAAAAAAAAAAAAAAAAGAGCGAACGCTCACAATAAAACGCAACGTCTTTTTTTCCTCTTTGGATAGGCAGGCGATGGAATAGCAGGAGGATCTACAACCTGCGGAGCCGCTTTCATGTTTGGATGAGTCGTCGCCCCGTTCCCTCTTGCATCGGTGCAGGGGGGCTTCCCCACACCGTTCGCAACCCGCTGCTCGCATGCAGTGCCCCCGTTTCGAATGGTACGAACTAGTGTTTCAAATACTTTTTCTGCCATCCCTCGATTTTTGGCCGTCACCTCAAGAAACGGGCATCGCACCTGCGCTGCAAACTGATTGCCGTCCTCAGTGCTTACGACTCGGTAGTTCACCTCGTCGATTTTGTTCCCAACCACCACGCAGAAAACGGGTTGGTCCCCTTTTACGCGGCAAAGCTGGGCATATATACGTTTCAGCTGCTGAAAACTTTCCGTGTCGGTGATGCTATACACCAAAACAAAGCCCTCTCCCTTCCGCAAATACTGGTCACGCATCGCACCAAAGGCATCTTGTCCTGCTGTATCTACTATTGTTAGCACTGCAGGTTGGTTGTCAATATCGATAGGCTTGCGATACACATCCTCAATGGTGGCGTCATACTTGTCCACAAAATGACCCTGGATGTACTGAATAGTCAGGCAACTTTTTCCAACACCGCCACCCCCCAAGACAACAATGGGGATATCGGGCATCGAAACTGTGCCAATATAATAAAGCCAAAGGAAAGGAAATAAAATAATGGTAATTGAAAGCACTCAAAATATAAATGTTTCGTCGAGAGCTGCAGAGAACAGCAACACCCTTAATGGCCCTAGTAGGCAAAAACACACCTCCTCAAAGTTAAACAAATTCAAAAAAAAAAAGAATAAAATCATATAAAATAAATCGACAGGATTGACACAAATTCATTGATGAGCACATGAAAACAAGTTTCTCCTCCTCCCATATAATACACCGTAACGCTAAGCGCCTCGCGTTCTATTCTTCGATTCGTGCGCAGTCATCATAAACACAAACCTCAAACACTGCCTAAGCGTATGTTTGATAAACAAAACCCAAAAATAAATAAATAAAAACGGAATAATCTTCTGTGCCGCTGGCCAAATTCTGAGTTTCTCAATCATAGAAAAAAAAAAAAAAAAAAAAAATTGAAACAAGAAAGGAATGAATGGAATAAGAATGGATCCATTATACCCTCAAAGTTTAACAATAAGTAATTGTACATGCATACATACATGTATCATCCGTTAGCCTCAATTGTGGCCCGCTCACCCTATTCGGATTGGATATATATATAATTATTTAATAATTATTACTTACTTACGAATTGACAGACTTTGGGGGCTTTCCAACCACAAGACCCCGCCGCGAGGTGGGGATCAAGTGACTAGGTGGGATGGTAAAATAAAAACAAAATACTCTGGCCGCTATCGGTTCCCTGCTCTCCCCCATAAAGTCACGGCCTTCCCAAAACTCATACGGTAGAAAAGCGTCATAAGGAAATGTATTCGTTTTATCGGGGTACATGCACATCAATTGAGTTAGCCAGCTCTCCCGCGATCATTCTCTTCACAAGCTCCTAAAAAATTAAACATTCCCTGGTTAAAAATACCCCCGCTTCAACACTCATACCACCCTACAAATGCTAAAGTAACCCTCCTCGTTTTACTATCCGAGTGACGAAATATACGGACAAGGGCAAAGCAATAGCGTTTACAATCGCGCATATAACAAGAGGAATCCAAATACAAACACGCCCTTCACATTGACGAGTCTCCCAAAGGCCCTGCCGTTTGCTGTAAAAATCGTAAATCGGTCCAAAAAGACCAACGTTAAATATCAATGGAGAAATAATTCCCGCCGTGTACAACGCACTGTAATGTTTTCCACAGTTATTAGGAGCGAAGAGGCCCTTGATAATGAGAATGGTGCTGCCCCATGAAACACCTGTGGCGAGGCCAACTATAAAAAAAGGAATCGATAAGGAACCCCTTTTCATTGCTAGAAACAATGGCAGCCCGATTACATTTAAAACCGGAGCAATACAAAAAAATGAGGAAACAGGAATCTTTTTGCGCACAAGAATAGGATGCGCAAGCCCAATAAACACACGCCCAATTGCACTTGCAACACCGTAGATGGAAACAAGGACGACGTTCACCGTGGGAGAGTACCCATAAAAATCCATTGATTCGTATATCTGGCTGCTATTTGTGGATACCAACGTGGCCGAGCTCCATGATGCCAGACACACATACCACATCAGCCACAACTCTCTTCGACGCAAATTGTACCATAAAGACTTTGAATTTAATTTCACCTCCTGTCGGGCGGCCTCCGATTCGGCAGCAAAATTTTCCCCCGAGCGGGAGTTCCATCCCCGTGAAACATGTCGTTCCCTTTCTAAAGGTAACTCAATTTCCTTCCCGTTAGTCAAATCGGGTGCATCTGGAACATCCAAATCGACATCTTGAGGGGAAAGGCCTTCGCGAAAATGAGAATACCCCCTTGGACCTCGAGATAGCAACGAGAGACCGTTCTCCCTCCCTCCTTTTTTGCACGGTGTTGCATAAATCTCATTCGTCGCATTTGCAGGTTTACCAATCACCTCAGTTGGAAAGGAAGAAAGGGGAAAACGAAGAGGCGGTGGCGACGGCGGAAAAGTCGGAGTGGCGGTGTCCCCTGTGACGGCATTAACGTCGGTGTTTGTGGTAGCCGCAGCTGCTTCCGCCTTTGTTGTTGTTTTCGCTGTTATCGCCGTTGACTGCGTGTCATATCCTCCACGATTTACGGAATAACTAGGCGTCACCAAAATCATGAAAGAGAAAGAAACGCATAGAACAATCGTCACAATACCAATAGCTTCGCGGTCAGCATCAGAAAACGAATAAAAATTCTCCAGCAGCGTCACAAGCAGGATAAAAGCTATTGAAGTAAAAAGAATCCCAGTTCCAACGTTGAACGGGAGCCTAAATAGGCGAGATTCGCCTCCTCCACTCTGAATCATCTCCTCATCTGGGACGTTAAGCCCCAAACATTGCGTTTTTTCGGACGGCAGACGAACAATCAATGTCCCAAGGACACCGACAGTCAACGAATAAATAAGCAGAAATAATAAAAAAGGTCCGATCCCTGCAAAGTGGGTCTCAAAAAAGGCAATATATATTTGCACAATAACAGAGCTTCCCAGGCCCATAAAGGTTTTTTGAATGACAATGACGCGTCCCTGATAACAGGAGAATGCGTCCAGGTTTGTTAAAACTGAACCAGTTTCATAAAAACTGGATGAAAATTGCAAAACACCATAAAATAGACACATTACTAAAACATTTGTGCCAAGCAGGGGAGAACCCACATTTACAAACATGAGAAACATCCCAAGCCAACCCAAAAAACCCAATAAAGTCCCTATAAAAAGTATTACCTTAGGACCTTTGTGGTCATACAGAAATCCTGTTGGAAGTGAAAAATAGCTTAAAATGACACCAACAGTTGAAACCAAGTTGATGTCCGACTGGCTATACATAAACGGCTTTTGCTTCATGTATGGGCTGAATATACCAAAACAAAAGCAGGCACCATTATTAAGACAAATCAAAATACTGACAAAAAACTGAAGAAACCAGCGACGCTCAGCTGTCCACTCAATGAAGAAAAGTCCCATTTTAGCGCCTGGTGGAGTCCAATGCCTACAAATGAGGGGAAAAAGCGGTAAATATCAATAAAATTCAACTGCTGTCTAAATATGTTTTTTTTTTTTTAAAGCAACAACTAAAACTTGAGAAAAGAAGAAAAAGAAGTACCATCAATAATTGTAAAAAAAGAAAAAAGAAAAAACGGACAATATGCGTGCATGCAAAGAGAAAGACAAGAGGGAAGAAAAACAAAAAAGTCAAAAAAATCAATAAAGAGGAAAAACTGTAACATCAAACAGTCTGCTCCCATGATATCTGCAGACAATATATAAAACATCAAATAGAATTACATTGGCTCTAAAACTTCAGCAGCGCCCTCCTTCGCTGCCGCTCTTTGAAGTAAATGAGGTGGGGGGCGTCTTGTGGTTCCGGGAACAAATGAATTAATCAATGCGGGGCCCAAAACCACTGCCGTCGAATTGTACGAAAAAGATAACAAAGCTTCCTCTTCTTCTACCGTCTCAATCTCCACCTTTACGGGGATAAGCCCTCCCTCGTGTGTAACATTGAGTGAAAACGACATTGCACCCAGCGGTTGTGTACCTGAAATTTCTACTTGTGCCATGACGGTGAGACCCGGTGCCAAGAAATGTCGCGGGTAATGAACACGAAGAATGTCTTTGCACTCCGTAGGAAGTGTGACGCGGTAGCGGCAGGGGACAGTCGAGGTATTGGTAAAAACGACGGGAAGAGCATAGCGATTGCCACGTATTACGCGCCCAAATGAAAGCACTGAGGGCATTACTGACAGCGTCGGAACGAGGCGGTGTTCCTGCGGCGGCATCCCTCTCTCCACCATCAAATGCATGAAAGGAACAAAATCGCCCTTCCTTTTAATTATCTCCGGTGTATCGGCAGAAGCATGAGATGCTGCGACAGCGGAACACTCATGACTCCCCTCAAATAAAGAAATATCCGCAGCTGTACTGCCATTTTTTTCATTCAATGTAGCCTCCTCGAGCTCCGCAGCAACGATAATTCCTGTAGAGCGCCAATAATTATACTTTCCATCTCGTGCAAGACGTGTTTTTTTATGCGGCAGAAAAACGGCACGAGTGACTCTTGACCCAGACACAGTGTAATCACGAATTGGCTGACAACGCTGTGTCCCATCCACAGGATTCTTCCCTGCCACTTCCGCCTTTTCCACGAGGGGTAGTGTATGCATTGCCTTCGACCATACTTCGGCTTCTGACAAGGAAAGACGACTGGAGCACAGTAGCTCAGCCAAGTTATCTGTCATCAAAGCTGTTCCTTTTCTTGTGGAGAGAACGTGCACGGCAGTCACTTTATTATCCCGTGGAGCTTGAATTGCGTTCGGCCAGTGAGACATCAGCAAAAACTGCTCAACCGAACTTGCCATCGGAACGACAGATTTTTGCTCCTCACCTGCCGACTCATAGGGTGGCTGAAGAAAGAGGATTTGTTCCTGAACATCCCCCCCAGAAAAGGAGACACCTGAAAAGAAGCGCGAGAAAGTTGGGTCGATTTCACTCTTCAGACGCTGCAGCAGGACGCTTGAAAGCCATGAATTCATAAAGATCAAAACTCCGTCATCATCGTCGCAATTATTCATTCTTACCAATACCCGAATAAGATCCTTGCTCTGTTGAACACCAAAAGACAAAACCCTATCAATACTCCGTTCCGCATACCGCATGTAACTGGATAATGTCGAAGTTGGGAGCTCAAACTTTTGTCGGCACGTGGAATTCCTAACCCTGAGAGGAAAATCAAATGTGTTAAAATTCCTCTGGAGTGCCGTCTCCTCAAAGTTCCCGCCCGTTTCCTCGTATCGCTCTAAAAACTCCCTACTGACAACCTCTGCCTCCCTGAACACATTCTCTCTGACATCTCCGCATCGCCCAAATGGAGAGACACAATAATCCGCGACCTCAGATGACGCCACAAGGCCGCCAAAAGCACAGTCCATGGTGAAACAATTCCCATTAGGTATGGGACGCACGTGTAGTCGATGAGTTTTCAAGTCGAGAATTGCCTCACCACCACTTCGATGATGAATCAATTGAAGGGTTTGCTCTCTGACATCCATAATTGTTTCCATGCGATCCACAGTGAAACCCAATCGACCGTCTCCACGGTGGACTCTAATCTCCGGAAACCCCATAAAGTGCCATGTATACCCACCGCCATCTGAACTCGCAGAAAAACATCCTGTGCCGTATATGACCTTTTCGAGCTGACCCCCAGAGCCCAACAGAACCTGCACCCCGTCTTGTCGCAAAAGCACGTTTGTATCTGTACGCCTCTCCCCTGTTGTTACAACCATAAGCGGTTCTAAAGACAATTTCTGGCCATCTGCCCTGATTATCGAACGTTTCCCCGCCGCCGTCACATACAACATGGCACCCTCCTTGTTAATTGTCAAATAGTTTCCGAATAAGTCAATAGAAACAAGGTACCCCTCAATCTCTTGAGCATTTAACATAACGCATCCGTCTGCATACACAGTGATTGCATGAATATGGGAAACTCGAATGCTTCTTACCTTATCACCCACACAAACATCAACAAAAATATCGATCAAAGAGGAATGGTGTAGATTTTGGACGGTGGAAAAATGCAAACACTTTTCTGCAGCAGAAAAGGCGGCGGCTGTCCCATCGTGGAATAAGGCCCTCGCATTCGTCATCGGCTTTCTCTGTTCCCGCTCCTTGGGAACAGCAATCTGCGAGATGAGCGCCTCCTCCAATGTGGCGAGTGACGGAAGCGGGACCTTTTCTTTGGAACTCCTCGAAGTTTTCGTTTGTTCAAGAGCCTCATATTGGGCCTTTGCCTCGAGCTTAGCAGATTCAAGCGCTTTCATGTATGCCACCTGCTCCACTGCACGGGTGTTGTCAGCGACAACCTCAAAAAAAAATTGCACAACATCATCGATGGTAAGAAAACAGCGTATAGAACTTGTAATCACCAACGGAATTTCTTCCGTGGGGAGTTCCGCCATCGTCAAAAAACCAAAGGCCAAGTCAACAGGATCAGTCACAACGCAGTGCACTTGAGGTGTGTTTCCCACAACACGCCGAACCTCAATGGTAGAGCCGTCATCCGTGAACATCCACTGCGTTTCCTCTGCGATGCAGTGCGCTCCAGTTCCTGATAATATCGCCTCTTGCACCACGTCCTCCTTCTGAAAAAGCCGCCTCAAGACATCCTCATACGTACGACGGCGTCGCAGAGCCGCGTCGGCCACCTGTAGTACGTCTACCGGTGGGGACTCCTGAACTTTCTTCCGTCGGGAAGACTTTACCTTCACTGTTTTTCCTTCACTCCCATCCTCACCAACATCGTACATTTCTTCTTCCTCTTCCTCTTCCTCTTCGTCTGCCCCACTTGGTTCTTCCTCATCACTGTCTGGTGGGGGTGGATTATAATACAGCCCTTCATTAACGCAGTAATTTTGCCAGTTCACATAATCCGCAAAGGTTGCAGATCCACAGAAGGTGTATACAGAGCTTTCTGTACGAGACGCCCCATCTCCACGATAGAGTACCTCCAATCCGCACCCGTCAGCATTCATATGTACACTTCGCCAACTATCTAGTTTATTTTTTCTCAATGCATGAGCAATCGCCCCATGTCTCCCAGAATAAATAAAACCAATAGATGTCACCTCTTCAATGGCTTTCTTTGTTTCTTCCACCTCAATGCCAAACGACTGGAAAAGAAGAGAAACAGAAGCATCTCTAATGTCCAGTGTCACATTATCGACATTACCATCGTCCCTTGAAGATAAGACGTCATTGAGTTTTCTTGGCTGCGACGATAATATTGAACTCGGCACCGTTTTCTTTAAGGACTCTTCCTCTGGAGAAAAGGGCTCGGTAGATCCCTTTTCTTTATTGCATAATAGAAGCTGTTGGTGTGCGTTATCCACACCCAGCATGGCAATATCAAATACATAGTTTACAAATAAAGAAGATTCCTTTTTATCATTCAACATCTGCTGTTCTTCGCGTTTCGAAAGTGGTAGAAACGGATCCAAGAGTTCAGGATTTGGCATGGAAAGCGTTGCTGCCACTTGCAAGACGCATGCAGTGCAAAAGGTCTGCCTATCGAAGTAAGCCTGCTTCCTAAGGGAAAGGATCGTATCATACACGGAGCGGTGAGCAACAACACCCTTCATATTCTTAGGCTGGGCATCAAAGACAGGGATGGTTTCAGCATTGCTGAAGGGCACCACCACCGTGGAAACAGCACTCTTCTTCCTGCTAGCAACATGTCTTTTCTTCCCCTTTTCCTCCACTGTTGCCGATGACGGTGCCACCGCCTGAGGGTAGCGCAGTGGAACATATGAAGGAATGTCCACCCTCACCCGCCTCTCTTTCCACTCGCAAAAGCCAATATACCTTTCCTCAAGCATGACAACAGCATCCACTATCGCACTGAAAACATTCCCTTCTGTGCCCCTCAAACGATAAACTGCGAGTGGTGCCGTATCACCCAGAATGTTGGGAGTTGCATTTGCTGCGGTCGTGTTGTTAATAGAGGCATTCGGTATCGCATCTGTTGGAACATCATATGAATGAATATAAATGTTCTTTAAATAATGCAGTGGATTCTTCGTCCCCTCCAAGTACTGTTGTAACTCAGTGGCCAGTGTCAATCGGTTTTTGTCGTCATTCTGCCCGCTCCTGTCCTTCAGCTCGGACTTCCTTGTTTCCCTCTTCTCCCTCCCCTTCCCCTTCCCCTTGGATGAATCTGAAGCCTGCGGTGGTTTCTCGGCGGCCACAGACCCGCTGAGTGCCACGCGGCTCGACAAAGAAACTACTGCATGAAGGGAAAGACCACAGTTGTGCAACTCCGTCACCTCCTCCATATTAGTCGGGTAAGTCGAAAGAAAAACATAAAGTCGTTCGCGGACGTCACCCTCTTCACTTGAGGTGCCCTCAATAGCGGCTTCCTCCATCTCCTTCCTTGCCGCCTCCGCCGCCTCGGCCTCTGTAAGTCCCTCCTCCAAATAGAGAGCCAAAAGCGCTGCGTACTCCTCATCACGCGCCCGCTCCTCTTCGCGCCGCTTTATTTCACGATCCACCGCTATGCGCACGTAATCCTCATAAAACTGCGTCGCGGTGCTTTTTGTGTTGTCGGCCTGTTTGCTTCTCCGGTCACCCGGTTTTCCTCGCGTCGCCTGTGATATGGAGGTGCTGCGCCTTTTTTCTAGCACGTAAAAGCCCTTCGCGAACGCAGGGTCGCGCGTCATGGCTTCAACAACCTTTGGAAGACACACAGTATTTCCGGTCTGCACAGAAAAGGTAAAAACAAGCGGATTGAAGCGACTTAGTGCCTCCGCCTGCAGATCCGCAAGATCCACATCAATGGGAGCGGGAGACTTCTTTTCGTTCGCCATGCGCACGAGAAAACAATTCCAAATGTGGCCGACGACAAAAACAATCAATCGACTTCTCCTTTTTTTATTAACTAAGATACAAATGAGGGGGTGAGTGAATGCAATCAAAAAAAAAAAAAAAAAAGGATCAGGAAGCAAGAATTTAAAACAATGCATAACGACATGAAAATAATCGATTTTTGTTTTTGTTGCCGTTACAAAGATTCAGAGTGGGTAGAAACAAAAGGGGGACATACAAAAAAAAAAAAAAGGAAAACAAATGGAAAACCCTAATGCTCACGCCCCAATCAGAATAGACTTTAGAGTGTGCTGTTGCCGCAGGTCCTCACGTTTCACCCGTGGAGCGCCCAACCATCATTAAGCCAATAGTTGAAATCAACGTCACCCAAATGCCTTCGTCGCCCAAAGAAGAGAAGGTCGCAATGGCCCAACCAGAAACAAAGATAGCGGCCAATGCTCTTTTGATTTGATGTGTCAAAATAATTGTCACCAATCCAACTGAAAAAGGCATCAACACGACACGAGTTGCGTCTTGACGATCAATTAACATACTGTGAACGAATATAAGAAGGATAGGAGACCATTGCTTGCAAAACTGCTTTACATGGCGATGTAGGTTGCTTGAAAAAACCCTGTCAGATGTTTTGAAACCATTCTCAGCTACAGAAGAAAACACCACTCCTAACATGGCGGCGGGAAGATCCGTAAACAGCATTGTTGCGCCCAGGTACAATAAAAGGCCGTTTTCACTTACCCATGGACTGAGCCATGAGCCAAAAAGAAGAAATGCGGCACAAGTATGAATCATCCACTGATTCATCTCACCACATCTTTTTATTAAAACAGGAGCAATAATCGCCTCAATGGCAATAACAACTGCCATGTGAAGTCCAATAAAAACATAGTGCAGCTGAAACACCTGACGGTCAATGAAAGGATACATACATTGGCTCATGGATGCACAAGACACACAAAGAGCGGTAGGAACAAAAAATGAAATACAGCTGTAGGGCTGCCTCAGCAGCCAGTTTTTGTACTCTTCCACTGAAGTAGCTCCGGGAGCTGTCCTTGTCCCATGTGTACATGTAAAAGAGAGGAGCATGAGCGTTACGGCAGTTGCAAATTCCATGGTAGCCAACATTTCAATTGCAGCTGCCACGTCTGTAGCGTACTCACCAAGTACCCCACCAAAAAGCATGGCAGCCATAAGACTGAAGATGGAGATTTTTTGTGTGTCGTATCCCTTTGATGCGTCTGAGAGTTCACGAGCAGCAAGAGCACTAAAAGATAAGGCGTGACGAAACAAACCGCTAACAAAACGTGCAAGAAGATACAAAAATAAAGAATGTGTACGAAGTGCGTTTGCCGTGATAAAACTGCTTATTGCTGTGGCAATTAGTGTTGCCGTATATGTTGTAATTCCATTAAAACGCCGAGCAAAGCGCTCGCAAATGACTGTGCTCCACAACTGTGGAAAGAAATAAAGTGCTTGAGCCAAAGCCAACGACCAGAGAGAAAGTGGAACGGCTGCCGTGTAGAGTGTAATGATGGGGAGCGGTGAAGCAGTGACAAGAATATCAATACATTTCGCAATTTCAAGCCCAAGACACATGTAGTTCTGTCTTATAACTTCCTTCCTGGGAAAATCGTTTGGCGTGTCTGTTCTGACGGAACGCTTGCGCCTCCCAGGGGACGGCGTTTGTTTTTTCATGGCACCAACCATCTGTATATACACATATATCTACGCTTTCATTTATAAAGGTCAACAGGAATAATAATAATAATAATCCCAACCCAGGAAATCAGACAGCGGTCAAATAATACCAAACATACACTCAGAAACATATATCAATAAATATATAAACATCACTCGCGTGAAACCCATCACACCACATGCCCCACCACCACTTTACATCTGTACCTGCAAACTCCGCATAATAAATAAACATCTACAAAAAAATACGCATGGGCATTCGCAAAGGCACGCTCACTCACACACAAAGGGAGAAGAATAAAAAGAGAAAAAGCAGAGCCATTCAACTAACATTTTCTTTCGAGTTGGCTGAGGGCCTCCGCAACAGATAGGTTGAGTGGTTGATAATCATCCGCCTCTCGGGCAATAAACTGCAGTCGATCCTTCGCACCCAAAAGCTGTCGCCTCCCCGCTGGATGTTCAGCAACGTTCACAAAAGTCTTCAGCACATTAACCAAGACATCACGCTCCTCTTCATGCATGAGAAGTTCCAGAAGAATAGGGGCAATATTTTCGTCCACCGCCTGTTGTTTCCCGGGTTCGTAAATGGTGAGTTGTGCCACCGCCCCTGTGACAGCTGTCCGCACCCGCAGATTGTCGTGCGTCATGTAAGGCCGCAAAGCCACCAGAGTGCAGTGGTTCACAGCAGCCTTTTTGCCCAAACGGTAAACGGCTGCTTGAGTCACCACCTCAGCCGCCTCTGAGGCGACAAACACTCCATTTCGCTTCAAGGCCTCGGTCACTTCCGCCATTCCGCCTGATCGTATGAACCGAATAAAGGCCTCCTTGACGGAAAAAATGGTTGCGAGAGCTGAGCAGGCCGTTGCACTCACTCTCACCTCTTCGTGACGCAGCAACGCAATGCAACGCTCAATAAAGCCATACTTGACAAGACGCACTGTTGCCTCGTATGCATTATACGCCGCCCGACACGCAATTGTCACACGCAGTACAAGTATTACGACCTCCTTTGAAGGATCATCTAATGCTTTTAGCAGTTTGCCAACCGTGCCCCCCTCATCGTCCATCGCAAGAAGCATGTCTAGTCCCTTTGTCTCCCGCAGCAAAAACGCAAGAGCCTCTGCCGATTTGCACCGCATTTCCTCAGACTCATCGTTATGAAGAGTAGAAAGTAAAACATCAAGAAATCCATATCGAAGACTACGAATCACATTCTCGCGCTGCAACACGTACAGTTCAAGGAGATGATCCACGGCTTGTCGACGCCTACCGACACGGTCGTCCAGCATCCATGCACGCACCTTCTCATATTCCAGCTCTCCAAAAGGCCTGGTAAATATTTCTGGATCTAAGGACCGCGGATACCGCTTCATCTCGTGCATCAGAATACACCGCTGATTGCGCTCATAACGCGACTCAGCAAAATTGTCCTCGCAAGCAGGCGATTCCCCTTGCAACGCACGAATGACAGACCACATGTAGCCCAAGGCACCACTAGACTATGAAAATTAAATTAAACTTAAGCGGTCAAAAAAAAAAAAAAAAAAAAAAACAATCGCCCCTCAAAAATAAATAAATAAATAATACGGCCAGAAAAAGAAACACATGGAGTAAAACTCCATTACATATAAACAGAGAGCATTTTCGTCCGTTTTCTTTCACAGCGTTCACTTCCTCACTGTTGCGGCTGATTTCAGCACCAGCAAAAATATTCCTCTCGGAAATAAACAAATACGCGGAACGCCGCTTACTGACTCATTACCGCCTCTCTTTCATACCTGGATAGCTTAAGTCGTTTGACAAAACACACGTTGATCGCTTAATAATATGTAGAGCAAATATGCAAGCGCCCCCCACACTCCCAGTTGCACCACAGACAAGAACCAGGCTACCCGACGCCTGTGAGTATTATGCGCTCATCCCACCACAAATCCCGCAACGAAATAAAGAGAGAGGAAGAGAATATATGTATATAAGGAAGTATACGATGGTTTTCATTAAATCCTGCAAACTCCTTGATGGTACAATTGTGGCTGCATAAAGGGGGTTGTTTTGCCTCACGTCCTCCGATGCAGCATCCTCTCCAGGGGGACCGAAAAACTCCTTTACATCTGCACTCTGCAGAGCGGAGGTGCTCGAAGATGATGACCGACATGCAGGACATCGAATTCTTTCAAGGAGACACAAAGAAATAAACAACTAAACCCTTTGAACTCCGTGCGTGTTCATGGCGACACCAACACAGCTACCCGCCGAAAGCGAAAAAAAAAAAATAATAATAAATAACGAAGTTTCCGCCAGCCAAAAATAATGCCTGTCATTGCAATGGACTTTTTTTTTTTTTTTCGCCACCGGCTGCGCGCATCGAATACCCAACCGTATACACACACATAAATACACTCCACACAAAAAAAAAAGAGAAACTCTCAACAGAAAAAAAATAAGCATTTTGAATAATTGCAACAAAAAGAAGAATAATAATAAACTTATCTAAGCAGTATCTTCTCATGCGCAATAAAGTCACCAAGAAGGAAGACTTAAAAAGCCCAAAACCATCATATTGTGACTTCCCCGTCGCCCATTTGAGAAGCAATAAAAAAAAAGAAATTGTCCTCTACAGAACAAAAAGTGGAGTGTTTGTTTTCAGCAAAAAAAAGTTCCTGCCCCCCACGTTGACAAGAGTACAGAGCACCAGCTGATCGCCGGTCCCTACCACCTCCAAATGCAGTACGGCCTAACACGACACGTGTGACGGGAAGTTCGGCAAACGCAAAATATGTGGCCATCGCGTCGTCGTCATAACGTTGCGGCGGGCAAAAAGGGCGCCCAAGCAACGATTGCGTGTGCAACATCCCATTTGAAAAAAGTGGCTCCAAGGCAATATTATCCAGTGCCAAAACGCCGCCACGCTGACCCAGCAACCTAAGCGCCCCTGTGGTAAGATCGTGAGAAACACAAAGAGCATCCCACTCGCGTGAATCACCGTCCAAGAAACGCTGCGGTGGTTCACACTCCGCGACAGCCGAAGAAAGAATCATCATCTCGTGTTCCCGCTCCGACAGTTCCCGTAGGCAAACGTCCTCCAGTTCGCCCCACACCTCATCGACCTCTGTTCCTTCAAGAACAGAAAATCTTCTTCCACTCCCAATAAGCATAACCAGCGTCACATCCCCCGTTGACACAGAAGCCAAACGATAAAAAAGTCCGTTTGTATCCATTCCCTCTGTCTCATTTTGCGTAAGACGAACGACGTGGGCTGGAAGGTATCGCCAAGCAAGACGCAGAGTAGATCCGCGGAAATTTGAGCAAACTACACGGCTCCAAAGAGAGGAAAAATTTACTGTTTCATCTCTACCACCAAACGTCTCGTCCGCTAAAGGACTCGATGGAAGCTGGAGATCCGGGTCTAAGGCGAAATTATCAAGTCGTGCCTCTGCTCTAAGCAGTGACGTTAGATAGGGATGACAGTCACTAAGAATCACCCGCACGCCCACCAGAAGTACCATTGCAAAGCACCCCCCAAGTGTTCTCTTCGCTGAAATGGCTCTCTCAAAACAAGAGCGAAGATCTAGCGCTAATGCAAAAGCCCGGCTCGATAGTGGAGCGGCTCGCAGAAGAGGATTGAGAATATGTGGTTCGTATGACGTAAATCCACGCTCGTTCCTTTCATATCGGCTTTTCTCAGTTCCTGGCAAAGAAATCAGCTCCCAATCAGGCCGTAAAGACGACATGCAGCTAGAACCTTGAGGATTGAAGAACAGGTCACTTGTCATGTAAAAAAATTTATTTCCAATTGACCGACACCACCGTCGAAACTCATCTGGCGACTGACCAAAAACAACACCAAAATCCACGCGGGGCCCCTCTCGCATTTCAACCACATCAAACATGCATTGCAAAGCCAAGCGAATCTTTGCATCTGGCACCCCTTCGGGAAAACCAAATAAAACTGTCGTTGGGCAATCACACCGATCCAAGTTATTCTCCTCCGGGTTCAATACAGTGAGGGATGTGTTATTTAGTGATAGCAAAACTAGCGCTACCTTCACGCCATCAAGACGCACAATACAGCAGTCACTACCCCACGCATCGTGCACTTTACAATCGTCAATGCAAAAAGATGTTACAAACTGCATGAGAGGTCCAAGAAATCCCCGACGAAGGGCCTCTGGAAATGGACTGAAGGGAGAAGACAGGGAATCCTTCGCATCAGGAGCACTAGGTTGTGGACCAAACATCCAACGTGAGTGACTCACGTAGATAAGCTCATTGCCTCCTTCAATGCAAGATTTATGGCAAAAAATACATATGAATCGTGAAAGTGACTCACGAAAAGGCAGTAAGTGCAAATCTGACAAACAAGGCGGTCGGTAAAAAAAACGTGCAGCTTCAAATTTTCCCAAGTTACGGTAGTTTGCGTCGATGGGCCGCAATATACCAAGCTCTACAAGCGGCATTGTGTACCGTTGAAAAGCCTCCTGGCGGTCACAGGCAAAAAAAAGAGAGAATGAGTTGAGAATGTAATCGCCTGCAAGAAGACCCTCAAGATCTAGGTGATACTGCATATGTTCGTGAAATATACGAAGTAATTCCGCTAATGTCACTTGTGGCAAAGGAAATCTTTGAGTAGAGCTGCAGCAAACAATAAGGGCTTCTCGCAGAATTTCCAAATCTTTTACAGAACCACTTTTCTCAACAGCTTCAAGGTGTTTGGATGCATGTTGTACCGAATAGTTTTTCGCGTCCACAAGAATGGGGCGTGAAAACTTATGTTGCTCTGAGTTAACAGCAGTACCACGCGCCCCGCCCTGCAACGCCGTGGCTGCGACATTCCCACCTATCCCCTCCACTACCAATGGTGCACTAACATACAACATATGCTGCCGAAGAATTTTGTTGGCATGCAGTGCTGTATGCATTTGGCCAGAAATGAAAACAGGAAGAATTAGGGTTATGTATATGACGGGGGTAACCGCAAAATATCTCTTCCTAATAATATTCCTAAAGAAAAAATATTAATATTAATAATAATAATAGGTAAATAAAAAAAAAGCCACAAAAAAATATCCCACAAAGGAATATATATATATATATATATCCCTTGCAGAAAAAGATCATCATAAAGAATACATCCCATTCCCCGTCGTCCTCAAATAGACGCAAATAACCACACAGAGAAAGTGAAATTGAGAGAGAGAGTAATGGAAGCACTTCCCTACGCTTGCTAGAGTCTCGATTTGTAGCCCTTTCCTGTGCGCATAAGTGTTTGTTGCACAGTGCTCATCCAGAGTGTTCCATCCTGCCCATACATGCGGCCTTGGCCGATCCCCCTGCCTTGCGCCGCCCAAGGACTAAATACCTCGTACAAAAACCATTCTCCAACGCGAATACGCTCCGGATGGTGGAAATAAATGGTATGATCCAGACTGGCAAACTGACAAATATCATTGTTTGGGAACCTGTGTGGAAACAATGTTGATAGAGCCACAACAAAATCAGAGAGCCAGCAAGCCACAATGATGTTGAGACGCTTCTCTGAAATGCCAGTGGCATCTCGCAGTAACGTCCACCCCTCCGGTTCCACTCGCAAGCACAACTCCCACGGCACCGTGCTTTGAATGAAATGCGGGTTCATGAAGTTTACATAACCCACACGAGCCACTGCAGATTCCCCACGGCTGGCTTCGCGTGCTTCGTTGGATGACGTCAAAGTTCGCATATAATTGAAGAGGGAGGAAGATGAACTCCCTGTCAATGCAGATTGAGTGAGGCACCCTGGCAGACACAATTGATGTTCAAGGCCGCCACGCTCTTGTCGAGAAAAAGTAATAATTGCAGAGAGTATGTGTCGTTCTTGTTGCATTGCCAACACAAGCCGGGAAAAAAAAGAACGGCCATTATGTAACGATTTCACAGAGTACACCACGGGTGATCCACAATCACTTCTCCCCGCTGACAGAAATTTCAGCTGAAGACTGATGATATCCGTATGGGGGTCATCCGCCGCGAGATACGCGGCCTCCACACAGTGCGCCACCAACTGCCCCCCATACGTCGCTTTGGAGTGAGTGGGTGTCCACAAATACACGCTGCAAAAAATATCTTCGCTAACACGCTCCAACTGAAGGGCACGGGGAGGCAGGGACAAAAACTCTCCAATAACGTCCTGCAGCAGCATGAGAGAGACAAAAGCAGACCAGTTTATAAGCCTTTAAAAGCAACAAAGGTGGAGGAAGAGTAAATTCTTCATGATGCAACAAGACCAGGAAAAAAAGTTCGATGCATAGTCGTTTCTTCCAGCTCCGCCACCTTTCATTTCCAACACGACTAACTGCTACCAAAACAACAACAACAACAACAACAATAAACTGTTCATATTTTTTTTATTATTATTTTCTTTGTTGTTGTCGTTGCTTTTGACCCCCATTACAGTTCAGCATGTCTTTGGTTCCGTAACCGTGTGAGCGCCTCAAGACGCTCCTCAGACAGAAGCTTTCGCTGCATCGAAATGGTCTCGTCATGTGTCAGGAAGAAGTTTGGCGGCACGTCGCAAAGCATACGCTGGATCTCCGCCTCGCACAACGATCCTCCAAATGTTTGACGCACAATCATCTCTACAGGAATGCGACTGTGTCGATGCTTCTCGCCAACGGCACGTGCCACATCTTCGTACGACTCCACAGCCTTCCCCCCTGCTCCTACAGTCCACCCATCCGTATTCAGAGAGGCATGGCACTCCATGGGCATCGTCGCTGTCTTCTCTGACTTTTCTTCAGTTGAGAGCGTCATCTGACTAATCTGCCTCTCCACCTGTCGTACCGATCCCTCCACAGCATCATTTTCCTTCCTGCTAGAAGAAGCATCGCCTCCAACTTCGCGTCGAGATCTCTCCGCAACGTACAACGCGTGACGGCTTCGAATGGTCTCGCCCTCGTCAGGCAAACGACTTAGAAGGGTTGGGTGACGTAAGAGCCTCTCACAGCGTTCAATATGCACGAGCAACGCGGAAAGTTCCATTTGTGTGACGTCACCCTCCGTATCCATCGCCGTCATTCCTATACTCAACATAAACTTAAAAAATCAAAGAAATGCATGGAACGGCATAATCAAATTCCACCAAGAGAGCAGGAAGACAAGTCATTTTGATATCCACCAACAACAAACAGGTAATGATAATAATAATTGCCCCCTCCCCCTCTCAACCACATTCCCTTCCTGCTCCTACAAATCCACATCGTGTGGTCGAAAAGGAAAGAGCTTTCGAGTGTTGTTGTAGATCATGACAGCAAAACTCTCAAGGGACGTTACTTCCTCGCGGTGAAGGCTGTAGAGCACCTCCAACACCCGCACCAGGTGACACGGTTCACACCGCGACTTCACAATTGCCCCCTCCAGAAACTTTTCCTTGCGGCACATGGGATAAGGTTTAAGCAGCGCATCTGACACCCCATTGCACTTGGCCGCATCCTGCAGAAACTTGTGTGAGGCGTGTGTATTTCGGATCTCGCACCATGGTCCATCCGTCTCAATCATAAGTCGATCCAGTGGCACGGACCTCGCAACGGCAATATTATAATCGGTCTTCAAGCTGCATCCATTCAAACCAATAAAAAGTCCCAAATCCAACAGCCTCTCCATTTCTTCCTTGGATCCGGTAAAACTGTGCACAACCCCACCTTTAAAGCGGTGACGATGTTGCGCAAGAACATGAAAAAAATCCCCTCCGGTGTTACGGTCGTGCAGAAAAAGTGGCAGCTGAAATTCCTCCGCAAGCTCCAACTGCTTCACAAAGTAATGCATCTGCACCGACTTATCGCAGAAAAATAGCCGATCATAGTCCAGGCCCAATTCGCCAATAGCTGCGACACATCCACCCTCCTTCCCCACCGTGTGCTCCGCCACTAAAGCCCTCAGTTTGCCGTAGTACCCTTCGGGATCCTCGGCAAACTCACCACACCTAGTCGGATGACAGCCAACGGTACAATAGCACTGTAAAGATTTCGAGTTGTACCTTTTACACAGTTCAACCGCCTCAAAACTTTCCTTCAGGCATCCCGCTGTAATAAGAAGGCAGCGCACGCCAACCGAAACTGCGCGTGCAAGCACCGCGTCAAGGTCCGCTGGATGCCTCTTCCGGCCATTGTACACGCCGTGGAACATGTTGTCCGTCAGATTTATGCCAATGTCAATCATCGGCAAAATCGAAGATTGAGGAACCGGCATTATGCAACAGCAGCGCCAAATATATATCTACAGATAGATATAAAAATTACCAAAAGGCCAAATCTGTACTCCGTAAAAGAAGAGGCATACTAAAAGAAGAAAAAATAAAAAAAAAAAAAAACCGGCAAAAATTCAAAATAGCAAACAAACAAACAAAAAAGATCTTTGTAAAAGCATTTCAGCGGTAATAACAATCAGAAGAGAGGCATGAAGCACGACGAGATATATATATATATATATATATATATACTGCACTCACCTGCGCCCAGGTCACATGCGGTCACCATCCGGTACTGTCACCGGAGGCAACTCTTTTCTGTTAACACCCCGTTTTGACAAAAGTTGAGATCCCTCAAGAAGAAGATCACGCTCATTCCGGAGGTATTCTAAACGGTTTTGCCGCACTTCACACGTCCGCTTCTCGTTCTTGCCTTCACGAGTAAAACCCTCAATCAGGCGTTCCAGGTCTTCCAACACTGCGGCTGACATCACGTGATAATTGTGGCGCTCCATCCAAGCAAGAAACTGCCAGACGACTTCATGAGTGGTTAGAGGAGATTGTCGCTTCAACTCCTTCAAATCCGTTCCCGTCACATCATTCCCGTGTCCTCGCAAGATGGCGCGCAAAAGCACAACAAGAAGCGCGTGTACGGACTCTGGAGTGGGATGGTAACCCTCATCCACAGAAGTTTGCATTACCCCTAATGCGCGTTGAAGGCGTGTGGCCGGTGTGCATCCACCTTTTATTTTACCTTCACGACCCCCCTGTGACACAGCAATATCATACTGTGTCTGATGCACGCTACGTAACACTGCTCGCAGGTGATGTTCACGCCATTTATCGAGACGAATAGCAGCCGCCAGCATGTCCTTCCACTCTTGTTCGTCAGGCGTTGTAATGAGTGTATAGAGAAACTGCTTGGTGGCTTCCTGGAGTGGTGCCTCTTTTTCGCCATAGGGACGGTACACATTGAGAGTCATGGCTTCGTCCATGTCCAAAGCATCCGGCAGCTCGACCGTGGGGCATGATTCTACTGAAGAGTTTACCCTCCCATTCTTCGGTGTGTGACAACAACCACGAGACAAGCACAGCAGCCCACCGTCTTTGTTGAGCACGCACCGCACCGTGCGGGCACGAATGCACAACATCCGTCGCAATAAAAGTTGCATCCCATGCGAAAAGCCAGCACTACTCATTAATGGCAAATAAAAAAACAAAAAGAAAAACGCTCAATACAGAGCGGCAAGCGTGCTCTTAAAGTAAAACGCAGAGTTCCAAAGAATACACCAAGGCCCAGCAATGTGTTTCTTTTAAGTAAATGAACAGTGCAAACCAAAAAAAAAAAAAAAAACAAAAAAAAAAAAAGATGTCCACATGCAAAAAACATAGAAAAACAAAATAAGACAAATAGAAGCCTTACTAAGACCTTTTACTCCTTTCCCGCAAGAAGAGAAAACACAACAATGTGGAATGAAAGTTTGTTTCAATACGCTCAATATCGCCGCACCTCATAAAAGACTCATCCAGCTGTCAAACGCCCGCAAAAAAATAAAAATAAAAATAAAAATAAATCACAATAGGTATTAATATGACAACCGATCACACTGCAAAACTCACAAAGTGGCAGTCTTTCAAAGCGCACCGCGACAAGCGGAGCCCCCTCAGCGTAGAGGGCAGCAGCGGATCGGTGGGTAAAGAAAAGAAAAAAACTTGCACTCGCTGTCTTCCAACGCGGAGTCGTTACAAGCGCAACAAGTAGTCCACACGTAGACAGAGAAGTAAAACACGACGCGCGCTCACCCACCGAAACCCGTTCACACGCATATCCCCATCTGCAGACACCACTAAAGATTAGACACATACAGAACAACAAAAAAAAAAAACAAGACAAAAAAATGGCAAATAAATGCAGCCAAAATTTCACATTTTGTGGGGGAACAATGCCACTTAAAAAAAAAAAAAAAGGGGGGCACCTCCCTAAAAACAAATTATTTACACATCACAATAAATAAACCAAAAAAAAAGAAAGAAATTGAGCAAAAAATAGATACACAAAAACGAATTTGACCCCGAACGATTCGCCACTCCTCATATTTGCAATTGTCGACCCCTTGTGTAATGGCGCCCCCACCACGCACTAAAAATCAGTCTCTATTTCCCCAATGACTCGCAAAAAAACCTGTTCAATCGATGTCTGAGAAACGCTATAGTCAGTGATGCCCAACAACTCCTTGTTATCCCGTAAAATGCGGAATGTGTCACTAATAGACGCGTCGCGGGGCAACGTATACACAAACCGCTGTCCTTTAAACTCATTCAGCGTCGCGTTGGGAAACATTTCGGTCACAAATTTCACAATTGGTTCATAAAGCTCTGCACTCTCAATACGAATGCTCATCTCATACCCGCTACCAAACTTATTTTTCAGGTGTGTCTGGTCACCAATGCACCGCAGCGTTCCGTCCACCATGATGGCCACGCGGTGCGCCAGGACCTCCACTTCCTCCAGATGATGTGTCGTGAGAACTACAGAGCAGTTGTCAGAAACCGCCTCGATCGCGTTCCACAGACCGCGACGTGCAATGGGATCCATGCCAGCCGAAGGCTCATCCAAGAACAACACGCGCGGGCCTCCCACCAACGCAATCGCCACGCTCAGCTTGCGTCGGTTGCCCCCGCTCAGCTCGTGTGCAAGTGTGTCCCGATACTCCACAAGCTCACACAGTTGTAGCAGTCCGGACACAACATTATCGCATTGTCTTCGCACGATTCCGCGCACACCCGCGTACAGCTGCAGTTGCTCCTCCACCGTCAGTAACTCCAGGCACGCATCAAACTGTGGGCAGTACCCGATGCATTTCAGTGCCTCAGAACTCTCCTCCAGGATGTCGTGTCCACAGATTGCAGCAGATCCGCTCGTTGGAAGAAGCTGCTGGCAAAGCATCGCGATAGTTGTCGTCTTACCTGCACCATTTGTGCCAAGAAAGCCAAAGATTTCGCCAGGAAGAACACCAAAGGTTAAATTTCGCACCGCAACTTTCCCATTGGAGTATTTTTTATGCAAACCACAGACCGTCACAACAGAGTTCACAATACCCATTTGCTTTGCCATGTAAACGGCATTCCGCTCTTCCTCAACATCCGTGTCTTGGTCCGGGATTTCCTGGTTGGTACTCCTCTGAACTGAATAGAAATGTCGACTCCAATACCTCCGCCGCTTTGGATGCTCAATGAAAAGCAGCAATAATAAAAAAATGGGAAATTCAACCGCAAGGAACACAATGGGATATCCAGTGATATTGCCGTCAAATGCCGAGTTTACCAATCCTCTCATTTTCATCTGCCTGAAATTACTTAGGTTTATCATGCATTCGCCGATGGAGTATGTTGGCAAAATACGGAAAGGCCATCGGAGGTGATCGGATAAATCTTTTGTTTTCTCGAGGAGCGAAAAAATAAAAACAACCATCAACAGCAAAAACCCCAGGACAAAACCAGCCGCCATCACCACCATCTGCGCCGTTGAGTGCTCACTAAAAAAGAAACTAACGAGATACCCAGCAATCGTACTTGTGAAGCCGTATACAAAAAATAAGGTGAGCAAAGCACCGACCGTATCGGGTCCAACGTATTCGTCCCGACGAAACACCGCAAAAATTATCACGACAAAAATGACAGACACGAGATACGCCGCCATGTCAAAAAGAAAGTTAGACAGCCAGTAAATCATAAGGCGCAGCCCTGCAATCTTCTGTAACTGTAACGCACCACATTCCCGCTCCTTTACGACCCACGCAACAGGATTAGATGGGAAAAAAGTAAATGGTATCATGAGAATCGTTCCCATCAGAATCACCTCAATGGAGCTCAAAGAATCGACACCACCGCGGAGAGCACCAATTGACCATGAGATGTTGCCCCTTCCACTACTTATATTCTTGTACAGGAGTTGATAAAAAGCCGCCATGGTAACGCCCGTTTGGTGAATGGCCGAAGTATTGTGCAACATAATGATGGGATTTATTTTCCCCATCTTCCAGTAAAGATCACGATCAATGCAAGAGATGCTGGCGTACCGCGGCATTTCGTGGGAAAACCACGTGTCAGATGTGTAGCTTCCAAGTTCCACCGCGTTCCCAAAGTGGGTTTCGTTGACAATTAAATTCGACAAAAGAGGCTTTTCCCCCCAAAAGTCCTCGCACTGAGCCGTGTCCAGGAGTACTTTCTCGTTGTAAAGGTCAAATGATAAGTTAAGCTCCTGGTTCTTTTTAAAACTTACCAAACCAAGCAACATAGCCAGTAACACACAGAAGAATGGACACACCAGTTGAAAGCACTGCATTCGTCGGTCACGAAAGGCATTCTGAAAACGTTTCTTCATCAGAACGCAAAACTGCCGCAACGAAGGGGAACGTGTTAATGCGCAGTTCCACAAAAACGAATAGTCTTCATCATGCATACGAATTTCGTCTAAACCCTGTGATACACGCAAAAATACATCCTCAAGAGTTGCTGCAGAAATCGAATATCCACATACGCCATAATTAGCGTGACCTTCAATGCTGTACAGGAGTTCAGAAAAATTCGAGGCTTCGCTCATCGGCAAACAGTACGACAGATGAAAACCACTATAACCAAGAAACAACACATTCGGAATATTTTCTTCTACAATTTGATGGATGGAATCAAAATCTGCATCCGGGACCATGGCGATCGTAAGACTATAACCCAAACCCAGCCTGGATTTTAAAAACAAACTGCTGCCAGAGCATTGTAGAGAGCCGCTTTTCATGATACCAATCCGGTGCCCCAATAAATCTGCCTCGTCCATGTAATGCGTCGTCAGCAGGATGGTGTGGGAGGAAGACATTCGCCTTAGCAATTCCCATATGTGACGGCGTGCACCAACGTCCATGCCAGCAGTCGGCTCATCAAGAAACACAAGGCGGCTCTGGCCCACAAACGCGAGACCCAAAGAGAGCTTCCGCTTCTGCCCACCGGAAAGTCGCATGGCAGGAAAATCAATCTTTTCTAACATGTCTGTCTCGTGCAGCATTCGCTGCACCGCCTTCTCCAGCTCAGCTCCCTTAAGACCCTTTATTTTGGCAAAGAACTCCAGATGCTCGCGGCATGTCAGTTCCGGCCACAAAATGTTATGCTGTGGACAGAATCCAATCTCCCGCCGCACACGCGACAATTGGTGCCGCACTGAGAGTCCATAAACGTAGCAGTCGCCGCCGTCAGGTCTCACCATGCCTGTCATCATGTTCAGCGTCGTCGACTTCCCCGCACCATTGCGTCCAAGCAACACAGATATCTCGCCCTCACGCAGATTCCAGTACAGATTTTTCACCGCAGTAAATCTCTTTCCGCCTCGCCAATACACCTTCCGCAAGCCACAAATTCTCACCACAATTTCTTCCTCTTCTTCCTCATCATGTTCAAAGACACCGTCCGGGGCCCGCCCGTCAGGGCCACCCCCCTCGTACACGTCTCCTTTTGAAAAGTACCAACGTATAGGGTCAATAATAAAAAAGAATGGGTGTTTAGCTGTTCCCCAGTCCTTTGGTATAACGGCGTCCAGGTACAACATGAGAATAAAATAGATAAAAAAATCAACAAGCATTAAACACAAAACCACTACCGTCTTTGGTTCGTATAAACTGTCCGCCAGCTTTTTTGCGGAAAAACCACGCGCGCATTCATCCGCTAAGATATGTTGAAGTATTGTAACAAAAGCGGAAGGTGAAAGTAAGGCAAAAATTATAGTCAGCGCACTGTTCGTTTCGGAGGTGGCCATAGTCGGAAGCGTCAGGATAAAGTAGATAATCGGTGAAAGCAATGACGCAAGGCGAGCCTTGCTGAAAAAAGCAGACAAAAGTCCAGAAAGTGGGATGGTCGTCAAGGTAAATAAAAAAAATACACAGAAGATGATGAATGGATCGCTTTGTGTCATATAAGTGCATTTCAATAGAATGCTGATGACTATACACACAAAGAAGTCAATCGAAACGGATCTCACAAGCCACACCGCATAAATCACGACATCTTTCATGCCCATTATGAGCATTGCTTCACGAATACGCATTTCCTTCTCCAATACGATTGCTTTCGTTCGTGTTGAGACGGAGTAGAGAAAAGCCAATACAAATATGAGAGGCAGAATGTCGCGTGCATACATCAAAAACGTTGCCTGACGATACTCAACAAACGCCTGAGATGCAATGTAGGCAGTTGTATTCAGACGGAGCGTGGGGGAAAGTTGGTTAATGTAGTACTCCGATATTAGTTTCTGCAGTGTAAGGTAGCCCGACAAAACGTACATTTCCGCCCTGTCAAATTGAAAACCGCCAGGGTAGGCGTCTGAAACAACCTCGTCAAAATCCGGCACTGCGGTAGCATTAAGATAAATTATAGCGTCCAAGACCTGACGGTCAGCACGACGTACATGAACGATGCCCCAATTGAATTGGTTGTTCTCAAATTGTCTTTCAGCTTCTTTCATCGTGTTGTAAATGCCACCGTTCACGTAATTAAAAAACTTGGAACTTTTCTCAAGTTCTGCGGTTAATCCCCTAAGGAACGTTGAATCTCCAACAAAATACAACATGCCGGAGGAAGTAATAGCAGAGAAGCGCGTCTTGGGATATATACCAAAGGGCGATGAACCCATTTCTAAACTCTTGCGCGCCAACCATTGAAAAACGACAAGGGCATCCAGTGTGGGGAGCTCTGCAATGCGGCCGTTAAAAGAATTCAAAAATGCGTGCAACAAGAGTGACGCACCAACCGAGGCGTACACGCAGAGGCCTTTGACGGGTAATGTGCTCTCGTCACCTTTGCAATCAAGGGGAACTCCTGGATTACAAGGAGGGAGACCGTGCACTCCGCCTGGGGTACGGGAGCACACGTAGATCATGTAGAAATCCGCATCAATAAATGACTGCATATGGGAGTAATTCACAAAATTTGTCTCAGTGAATTGTTCCGTGCCCCAGAGGGACCACAGAAAAACGGTGATGCAGAAAAATAGAATCGGGGTTCCCACCTCCAGAAGAAGCCCCAGCTTCGTTCGCAAACACTGCCGAAAAACACGCTCAACAACCGCAAGGAACTGATCCAGAAAAGACAATTCCGGCACCTCACACGCACGGAACTCAGAAGATGGCCCCGCTGCCTCCTCCTGCATGACCTCCGCTCGCTGTTGCTGAAATTCCCACGGATCTTCAGTCGAAGCAAAACTTCTCCAATCCTCCGGCAACGGCGTCTGGTCACAAAAATTTTCTTGGAGCGCGTCATCCTGGTACCCGTAGTCCATCTCAAATTCGCCAGGGTCCATCCAAATGCCTTCCGAGACATGGAAGCTGCCAAAGTAGTCAGCGTTATACATGCGGGAGACACACACACACACACAACCGGTCGGTCGCCGCAACGTCTCGCACAATCCCTCCGGCACAACACAACACCACACGTCCGCTCCTTTTCAAAAAAAAAAAGTAAAATATATATATATATCAATTCCTACTGCCTTCTCCTTTTGATGTGTCTCCACTCCTTCCCTCACCGTCCTTGCGTCGAGAACACAAACAGGAAAAAAAAAAAATGAGATCACAAAGAAGGGCACTGTCTTCATATTTAAATTCAAAAATGCGGCTATTCCTCCTATAGGGCATTTGTTATTTCAAGAACAGGGGGCAAATGGGGTTTTTCTTCTCGCCCCTTTCTGTCAGTTGCCTCGCTTCCTCCTCATGGTCACGCTCAGCCACCCTGCAAATGCGCACGAACTCCCGCTCCATCGACATCTGCTACAGGTGATAATGCGGCAAGCCAAGCGAACAACGGTGATTCTCAGGCAACTCAAACTCCAGAAAAAGTTTCATGCCTCCTGTAAAAGAAAAGCACTGAGAACTGGTTTTCAATTACACCGCTATAACAGATGCAGCATCAAGGCCAGGGGTAAAGCATTGCTGGAAAAAAGTATGAAAATCAAAGAGAACCACACAAAAGCAAAACCAGTTTCTGTTGGCCTGCAACCTTTGCACACCCTCCCTGTCGCCTTCCACGACACCCCCTTTTTGGTTGGTTGCCTCCGGCGTCCTTTTTGAAGTGGCGGCTCAAGAAGAGGAAACAAAAAGAAAATTTGATGGGTTCACTTTTTATTTGTGGTGCCCACAAAAACGCCACCATAAAGCATTTTAAATTTCTTTCTATGTGTATGGAAAGGGACTTGTGCTATTGTACAGCACCGCAGATGTCACAGTTGCAAAAAGACGTTGCTTAAAGTCACCGCGTACACATCCCGAACGCTGCGGGGGTCTCTTCTCTCAGCAAAGGGAAAAAGAAGAAAAAAAGAAAAGAAAAAAAAAGAAGACGGATTGTGCTCACGAGCCAAAGAGAACGGGAGGAGGCGCGGGAACAGAACTCAAAGGACGACGTGGTGGCCAATCAACGCCACTTATTTTGACTTTGTTGTTGTTGTTGTTTGTTTGGTGCTTTTTTTTTCTTTTTTTGGTTCTTTTTTTGTGGAGCCTCGTCCAACAGCTTGTAATCCTGCAAAGCCGCAAATCCAAAAAAAAAAAAAAAGAAAAAAAAAAATCGTCACGTCGGGCTGCGCACTTTGGCGGAACGGTGGGAGGGGGAGGGAGTTGGTGGCCCCACGTCCACTTATTCTTCACTCCGCCGCTCGCTGGACGGTGTCCCCACACACACACCGCGGCTTCACACGAGACACAAACAAATGTCCACGTCCTCATTTCCCGCACTCTCTTCCTTCACACACGCGCCCATCGTCTCGGGTGCTCGCACCCGCTCGGCAGGACTTCGGGAAGATCAGAAGCCAAATTTTTTTTTTTTTTTTTTTTTTTCTTAACGGCAGACGGCACCAAAAAAAAAAAAAAAAAAAAAGTGATTTTCCACCGGGCGCTCAACACGACCAAACAAAAAAAAAAAAAAAAAAGACAGAAAAAAAAAAATAAACGACGCAAAGCCCCGCGTATTTCTTCTGAACAGCGTGTCGTCCCGGTGGGGGAGCGTGCGTGCACAAAAGTGCGGGGGCGTCCCCCGCCCACCCCACCGGCCGCCAAAAAACACGTTTTTTTTTTTTTTTCGTTTTGTTTTTTTTGAGGGGCGGGGGGGAAAAGGGATGGGAGGGAACAAAAACGACAACCCGACCAAATAAAAAAAAAGAAAAGAACAAACAAACAAACAAACAAACAAAAACGAGCAAAAAAAAAAAAAAAAAGAAAAGGAAAAAAAAAAAAAAAAAAGAGGGGAAGGGAGGGGGGGGGGAAA